CTCCTAGTAACCTTGTGAGGTGAGGTAGAACTGCCCCTATGTGTTTGTGAGATGATACATTTTTATGAGAATAGAAAACTCCACCCTTCTCCTCAGGAGGACTAGCTGGTGGTTTTGAACTACCGACCCTGCAGATCACAGTCCGATGTGTAACCACTACACCACCAGGACTTCTATAAGCACTGAATTAGCAAAGATGGTTTTGATTGTTTTCTTCTAGATCTTACAATTCCAAGGGTTGGCCAGTAGGTGGAGAAAGAGGAAACATCAGGAGCTGCTTGGGGGTATGCACATTAATACTCAGGACACTCCTGGCAATTGAAAACTTTCATATAAAGAGCAAGTTTTTGCTTTTCAGCCCTCCTGAATTAATCCATGTTCCCACACAAGGGATAGTATTGCCCACTTTGAGTAACAGTTATACTAGCAAGGAGAACTCTGAAATAAGAACTCAATAAAGTGATTCCATTTGTAATAGTTCCCCAAAGGATAAAATACCATTTCAAGAGGTAGTATATGACACAGGACCAAAGGTATTGAAGAAAGAAGTCTAAGTTGCACTGGAAGACATTAGCAAAAAACAAGTCTCCAGGAATTGATCGAATATCAACTGAAATATTCCAGAAAAGTGAAACAGCACTGAAATCACTCACTAGTCTATGCTGAGAAATTTACACAATAACTACGTGGGCAAAAAACTAGAAGAGAATCATATTTGTAACCATTCCAAAGAGAGGTGATCAAGAAATGTGGATATTACTGGAAAATATCATTAGTATCACACACAAATAAAATTTGTTGAAGATAATTCAATAGATTCAGAAGAGGTTATAGAACAGGGATATCATTGCTGACACCAGATGGATTTTGGATAAAAGCAAAGAATACCAGAAATATTTTTACTTGTGTTTGAGGACTATGAAAATATATTAAAATATGGGGATCATAAAAAAACTATGGATAACATTGAGAAGAATGGGAGTTCCAGAACACTTCATTGTATCCATAGGGAATCTGTGGACAAATCAAGATGCCATCATTGGACAGAACCTGGCTTAAAATCAGGAAAGATATATTTCAGGGTTGTATTCTTTGACCATTCTTATTTTATCAATTGAGCAAATGCTCTGAGAAGGTGGACAATCTGAAGAAGAAGACATCATCAATTTTGAGCAAGACTCATTAACAACCTGACATATACTCATCCACAATCTCACTGCATGAAAAGTGAGAAGGATTTGAAGCATTTGTTGGCGAAGATCAAAGACTGCAACCTTCCATATGAATTACAGCTCATTGTAAAGAACACAAGATCTTCCAACTGGACAAAGAAACCTCATGAAAAATGGAGAAAAGCTCGGAGTTTTCATTTGAGTTGGATCCACATTAATGCTTGCCAGAACAGTGGCCGACAAATCAAATCCCCTGCATAAGAACGACTTAAGTGATAGAGAGCAACGGCGTTACATTGAGCACTAAGATGGGCCTGACACAGCCAGCTGTTTCGACAGCCTCGTGTGAAAGCTGGACATTGAATCAAGACCAGAGATGAATTGACACACGTACATTCCTGCTCTGGCAAAGAATGCTGAAGTCAAGAGGCCATCGTTTGACAGCACATAGACTGTCAGAAGGAAAACATCTGTCCCGGAGGAAGTATGCTCTTTAGAAGAGATGATGGGGAGACAGACTCTCCTCCTTCTATACTTTGGCATGCTGTCAGGAGAGAAGATTCTATAGAAAAGGACACTTTGTTTGGTAAAGTGAGTGGTCGGTTGGAAAGAGGAAACCCCGTCATGAGATGGACTGACACAGTGGCTACAGCACTGGGTTCCAGCGCAACCACAACAATTATGAGGATAACGCAGGACTGGGCAGGGCTTCATGCTCTTTCATGTAATGTCACTAAGCGTTGGAGCCAACTCCATGGCACCTCACAGTAACAGAGCAGGAATCTACTCAAAGGTCAGTCTGCTTCTAACAGCTTATGTCTTTACCCGCTGTATGAACTGATTCCATCTCCTTTACTTTCTTCCCTTGCCAAATGAGGATTTTATACTTTTTTTAAGATTGTATTCTAAGATTTTGTCCTGAATGCACACCCAGGAGTGTTTTATGGAGTACAGACACATATATAAGAGTAAGGAGGTTTGTTACCTTCAGCCAGCCCCTTAACTTACCCCTGGGGTGTCACAATGAAAGCCAGTTCAGTGCATATCTTAGCCCTGCAGGGTGACCTTGGCTGTCAGTTCAATTGTCCTACTCCATGGGTAAAGGGTTTGGAAGAAAATATTTTGTCTGTTCACAAAGAGAAAGGATGCAACTGTCACCTTCCTCTCCTGAAAGATGATGCCTTGAAACATAAGAGGAGATTATGTAAAAGTCATGGGAATTTTCCATTAACTTGCAATTCTATTTTCCGTGAACTTTTTGAAGCCCCTTTGTAATTGTTTTGAGTTTTACTATGTAAATGATATAATTCTAGAAAGAGGTAGTCCCCTACTTTTATCTTCTAAAGATGTCTTCAAGTTAAAAAGCCTCGTTTCTTACGACATATAAATGCCTCAGGATGTAGAGCTATGACTAAGAGTATGGGACCCTCTCAGGAGAGATAAAAAATGTATTTGTGTCCGTTAGGATCAGAGCAGTTAACTAGACAAAGGCTACAGTTCCATTTTTTTGTAGTTTGCCAAGATTCTTAAAATGCTAGGAACTTTTACAGGAATACTGAAGAGGCCAAAGATGTTTTATTTCTCCTAAAATGTTTGTTCCTGACTTGATTCAGTGCCAGCATTTCTGTAACTTCCAGCATGATTTTCATTTGCTTATCTTGGTTATGGATTGGTTTGTTATTTAATCACCTCATTCATTCTAAGCAACTAATATTGGAATAACGAAGGGGGAGAAATAGAGAGTTACACAAGTTAGCTCCTGCCTCACCTCACACACCTGCTTGTCTTCAAGCTACCAATTCAGCCCTATTTGCACTGCTGAAAGCTGTAAGCTCGGGCTCAACCAAACCCCAAACTCACTGCCTTTGAATTGATGCTGACTCAGAGTAACCCTATAGCACTGGGTAGAACTGCCCCTGTGAGTTTCCATCTCTCTCCCTCCTAGCACCCGGTGGTTTCGAACTGCGGTCCTTGCGGTTAGCAACCCAATGTGGAGCCACTCTACCACTAGATCTCTAAAACTAGGGCTCAGGAGCCCAGAAACCGTTCCTGACTCAGAGCCAAACACACATCTTCCCTTGCCCTTCCCACAACGGCACACACTTTCCATACGCACATGTTTGGAAGTAATCCTTTCCTCTTGACTTGAAGCTTTCCATACCCAGTGTCAGATTGCCCAATAAGCAAAGTAAGCACACAATGTATATTTAAACAATTTCACTTTTTTTTTCCCTTCAAAGATTAAGCTTGTAGGTATAGGTAACATCCGTCTTTCTCCCAACCCCACAGCGCCTTTTCAAATTCGCAATCCCTGACATCTGTGGTGAAAGACGTGAAGCTGCTCATGACAAATTAGTAGAAACACAAGTAAGCCAAGCATACATGCTTATTGGCCATGTATGAGATGGCTGCCATTGTTTCTGTCCTGGAAACTGGGCATCCCTCTGCCTTGCTGTGCTGTGGAAATGTAAAATTATAACTTACAGGTTTAGAAAATATTTGATTGGGTGGAAGAAAAAGCTGCAGTAGTGAAGCATCACCATGCTTATAAAGCACTAGCGCAGCTATAAAGTTGGCCATCTTCATCTCCTCAGAAAGGTGAAACCCGCTCAGAGAGGTTTATATAGATGAAGCACTCTCTGCTCCCTTTCCCTGCTCTACCCCGCCCCCACCTGGCATATAAATTCTGAGAGAAAAAGCCACTCTCCTACAATTTGCTCAGTTTCATTAAGAGGAAAAATAATGCATAAATATTTGAAAAGTCCCTTTAGCAAATTGATGAATGAAAGCCCTGATAACAATATATCTTAAAAGTGGAAAGGTTTTAAAGAGCTAGAACTGAAATCATAAGTTGGTCATGATGAAAAGAAATAGATGTTTTACATAAAGCAGGAATTATCAAGGTGGAGGCTTGCGTTGTCTTGCTTCAGGTTCTCTAGAGAAGCAAAGCCAGTAAATCATTTTACATTTATCTATCTCTATATGTATCTATCTATCTATTTATATATACATACAAAGAGAGAGAGAGAAAGAAATCTATGTCGAGAAAACGGCTTAGATAGTGGGAGAGTCCAGGTAGGTGCCAAGTCTGTGGGGCAGATGTTGGGCTGGAGGCTTCTTCTGACTCTCGTAACTACAGAGGCGAAGGAACCCAATATGGGCAGGAAGCTGTCAGGCTGGCGGCTGCAGAGGTGGATACATCCAAGCCAGCAGGTTAGAGGGCAGGATACTGAGGGCTCCTAGGAATGGCAGACAGTATGGAAGGCTGTGGTTTCATATCCAAAGAAGTGGGGGTCGATAAGCTGAATGTAGGATTCAGACTTTGCAAAAATAAAAATAATAGTAATAACCCAACAGCATCCATTTACACTGGCCAGAGACTTCCTTTCAATTGATCCCTCGAGGCCTGTGACCAAATAAGAGTGTTGCATCGCAACCTAATCTGACAACCGGTTGGTTGCACATTGCAGATCCCATCATGGAGGTGAATACATTGTGTGGGTCACATCATCAAAACTTAGTTGATCTTCACTGCCACACTACTGAGAATCCTGGCTCAGTCAAGGTGACGTAAAACCTATCACACACACACACACACACACACACACACAAAAACCTATCACACGAGGTCTTTTGAAAACACATAGACCTTCTTGAGAGGAGAGAAACAACGAACGTGCCAACACATAGCAGGCTTTAGATGGTCCTGCCCTATAATTGATTAAAAACGGATAACATAGTAGGTACTAAGTGGCGATAAAAGGTCAGGATGTAGAAAGCACAACATAAGCATGGTATTTTTTTTATAAAAAGCTTTATTTCCGTGTTATTTAAAAAAAAACATATTTATAAATATCCAAACTTTTCTATGCCAAGACATAGAGAAAGACATTGCATAATTTATGCTAAACAAGGCAGTATGCCTTACAAGGGAAGACATAAAATGTCCAAAGGATATTTAGAACATTGTAGAGTTTAAAGCTTCAACATCTGAAATGTTCACCATATATACTGTAAATTATCACCTGTGAAATGTTGACCCCATACTTTGGAACAACAATAAATAACACCCGCTGTTCTTCCAAACAGCTACAAACATACATTTGCACATACATTCCCCAAACTTGCAGTCTATTTCCCCGGATCTCACATGATTAACATCTAGCCTCAATCACAGTGGCCAGCATGCTATACATTCTCTCCAAATAATAATTTGAGAACATTTAAAACTCACTGTCTTCAAATTAAATAAGTCAGGACTGAACTCTTACCAACTTTTAAAAATAACAAAACAGTAAATTATCAAATTCCTATCTTTAAAATACCAAATGAGGCATTAAAATACAAAAATGTGAAAGACAAATAAATAAATAAATACATATATAAATAAATAAAAGGAACGCAGAAAATAGTCAAACACAGGCAGCACAGTCCAACAGTCCCCAGGCATCGCTGGTTTCTCTCGGGTTCCTCTATCAGCGGGCGCTCCTTCGAGAACATTCACTTTGGGGCTTCTTTCTCACCTGTCAGTTGGTGCTGCTCCTATGATGAAATAGTGGTGCTCTTAGTAGGTAATCATTAAGCTGACACAACAACCCTTTTCTGCTGCCTGATGTCTTTGACACTCTAGACCTGCACCAAATAGTTACTGCCTGTACCCACTGTCGCCCTGAGCAGCCCTTAAAACATCAGGGTCTTGAATGCGGTTTAATAAGGGTAGCCAGTGGTAACAATTGTGTTGCTGGTTTCAAACAGGGGAAACACAGAGAACACTGCCCAACTGTTATCCTGAGTTTAAAACATTGGCGGCGGGGGGTGGGGGGATGGCGGGTGGGGCAGAAGGCATGTGCACACTCACTGAAGACTCAGCAAACCCATTAAATGTTGTTAGGTACAGCCAGTTGGTTCTGAGTCATAGCAACCGCGGACGGCAAAATGAAGCACTGCCTTTCCTGCATCATCCTCATCATTGTTCTTGTCTGAGCCCAGGCTCCTGAGCCCAGGTACTCTTTTTTCCTTATTTTATGAAGATCCAAAGATTGCTTTATATATTGTCCTGAGTCATGAGGCTAAAAGAGGTGGAGCCTAGACGCGAACTCAGGTGGATCTCACTGCAAAGACTTCCTGTTCACGGGCAAGATTTAGAGGCACCTGCTGCCCCAAACTAAGGGGTCTACCTTTCAGGTCTGAAACCAGGCATAAACCAGGCATAAATCACTGCACTATAATAGGCAGGAAGCATTTCAACACAACTAAACACCTGGAGTCAATGTTTTTCATTGGAATGGAGATGTTGGGATGGGACCGTCCCAATGCTGTAGAGCAGATTGATGTTCCTATGTCAAAATGAATGGTGACTATAAAAAAGTGCGATTTTCGGCCTTTTAGCTAACTTCTAGGTGTATTTTAGAGGATTCTCAGAAGCAAAAGCCAGTAACTAACTAGCTGTACCAAGGATCCCAGGCCCACTAGTGGTCCATACAAACCCGCAACTCACTTTGCAAGTATCTTTTGCATCATTTTCTTAACCATGGGGGCTGCGGGGTTGAGACAAACGTCCTGCCCATTCTTGAGAGTGGCTCTGCACAGAGAGAAGGAGAATCCACGTGAGGGGGGCGGGGGAGGGTAGCGCCCCAGGGTGGGGGTGACAGATGGCGGCGGCGGCAGCAGCAGCAGCGGCAGCGCGAGCGTGACTTACATGACTTCCGTTTGCGCGCAGTGGGGTCCCGGGGGCGTCACCGTGACATTGTATATGTTCTTGAGGTGGATTCCCTGCATGGTTTTCACGCACTGGCAGCGCAGTTCCGACACCACCGGCGCCCCTGGGGCCGAAGAGAGGCTCGGTGAGCGGGGCTGGGTCCCCGCAGGGACGGCCGCCCGCCCAGACAGACAGACGGACAGGCAGACAGACAGACAGACTCACCTGCAGCGCGCCGGCCGGCGGCGACCAGGAGCACGAGCAGCAGCGCGGCCCGGAGGAGGCGAGGGGCGCGGGCGGCGGCTGGGGGCGCGGCGCGGGCCATGGGCTCGGAGCGGAGTGGCTGGGCGACGAGGTCTGGAGCGAGAGAGGGTGCTGGGCAGGCTGCCGGTGCTCTGGACTCTGAGGCTCCGAGCCCCGCGAACCCCTTTTATCCATGATGGGGACTGGAAAATCCAGAGAGCCAAGGCCAGGGGAATTCCCGGAGCTCTAAAGGTTTGGACCGTGGTTCCGGAAGCCTGGAGCCCGCCCCGCCTCTGGGGCTGACCCCGCCTCGCCCTGGGGCGTGTTTCACACTAACTCTGGGACATTCCTATCTGCTCGCAAATTCCTAAAAGGACAAATAAGCCTTTTGCAAATAAACAAATAAACCCCACCGTCCCTGCGGTGGGGTTTCTGACAAACAGTGAGAACCTTGGGCGCCCAAGTAACTTCTGAACTCCCTGCGGGTGGATCGGGAGTGGGATCCACAGGGCAGTTAGAATCAGGCCTGGGCAACAGGAGTGGCTTTTCTTTTTTAAATTTATTTTTATTAATTGGAATAATACACTTATCCAATAATTCCATAATTCAATCACGCCCAACAGAATTGCACATGTGCTACCACAAAAAGTTTCCAAACATTATCTTTCTATATGAACTCCTTGAGGTCATCATCCCTTCCCCCCTGTGTCCCCCTCCCCTCCAAACCCATATTCCACTTGCTTACTCTAGAGGTTCATCATTCCTGGTTTTCATACCCCCCAAAGTGAAAAAAAACATATACTGCAACTTTTCAAGAGGGTGACCCCCACTGACATAATACTCCTGAAATACCCCCTAATATGAACAATAAAAAAAACCAAATAAAACAATACAGCCCCAAGATACATAAGATTTTGGAAACCAGTTCAAGTCTAGCATGCATCCTAGGGGGAATCTGCTGACAAGTCTTAACTGTTCAAGTCAGACTTCTGCCTTTGACCTGCTACGCAACTCACCAATGCATTCCTCTCTTAGTGACCACTTTCCTCCTATTCCTCATTTGTGGACAGAGGGAGTTCACTGGAGGCTTATTTTCTATGTAGTTTCACTAATGAATCTTGGGTGCCCACTGTCATCCATAGCCTTCTGCAGCCCAGATTCTCAGACTTTAGACTCTGATACTAATCTCTCCCTCTAACTTCACAATCCATCAGTCACTGATGATGGTGTGCTTCTTCCATGTGGACTTAGTGGACATCTCACTTAGATGGCTGTTTGTTCGAAGACAAGCCTTTAAGATCCCAGATGCTATTTTATCTGATAGCCAGACACCATCTAATTTCTTTGCCACAGTTTGCTATAGCACCCATCTCCTCTGTGCTCCTCCCCTGGAGGCTAGTATTGGGGTGGACTATGATGTAAGAAGTAATTGTTCTTAAATTGAAGCTGGGATTTAGTGTGAGCCCCCAAACTGGATGTATGTGGGGTTACTTTTGTAGAAGGTACTTCATTTATTGGCATCGGTATAGTTAAGGCTGGGAAAGATAGGGTCGCCTGTCTGTTTATCTCTTTATTTAAACTTTGATTTTTTGCAGCTTTCTTATACTTCTGAAACAAATATAGTATTAAAAGAAAAACATCCATCATTTCAGATTACATACTAAGGAAATTTGTCATGTTGCTTGAGTTACAAATTAATTAAATCACACTTGGCACTATGTTTTTCCATGACAATGCTGTAATTGGGAGGAGTGGGGTGGTGGTGACCATGGTCACAACTCAATTTAGTGTTTATATCAGTATTGTGGTCTTTTATTAATCTTCTGAAATTCTGGAACTTCCAGGACTCAGTGCCAGGAGCTCCACATTTCTGTTGCGAAACACATCTTGTTTTGATTTCATGAGTCATTGGGGAACTTCAGGGGGCTGTGCTGGCTGTAGGAAGGTCACAATTTATAATACTTTTTGAAAGATTATAGTCACAGAAAGCCAGTGTCTAACGGAATTTGAGTTCTTTAATCCTCTCAAGAGCAAAAAGACGTGTTCTTGCGTACATATGTGTGAGCGAGTGAGAGAGAGAGGCACTACACTACTAGTATAATTAACTACATTTCCATGTAATATGAGCAGACCAGCCTTCTGGGATTTTCATTCTCTTGAGAAATATACCTTAGTTTTCTAATTTCAGCAAAGCACCCGAGAGCCTGTTTAGTGGACACCTCACAGGGTAATTCACTTTCAATTCCAATGTCCTTTGTTGGGGTAAACTATAATTTCCAGATGGGTTAAGTGTTATTCTACACTGGGAATGAGACCTTCATTGATTCAGACCTGGGGATGTGTGAAATATGTTGCCCATGCTACGAGAAGGCCCAGGAAGGAACAAGTAGAGGAAAAAGAGGGTTTGTTTTGATGACGTTCCGTGCTCTTTGCCCTGCAGTCAGTTCTGATGCTTGACAGTCTTATAGGATGGCACAGAGCAGATCTGTTCCAGAGGGTTTCATAGACTGAAATCTTCACAGAAGCAAACTATCACATCCTTCTCTGGTGGAGCACCTGTGTTTAACCCATCGGGCATCAGGCGGCAGTCTTTGAACTGTCTAGCATTTTAACCATTTGTCTACCCGGGCTCCTCCACCTCAGAAACAGAATTCCTACATGTGGAGCCCTAAAGGGCAGTGCTGGTTCCGTGTAGACTCTTCACTTGCCATTCCTCAAACCAAACCAAACTCAGTGCTGACTCACAGTGACCCCCTGTGGGTTTCTGAGACTGTAACTGTTCACTGGTAATAGAAAGCCCAGTCTTTCTCCATCAGAGCGGCTGAGGGCTTTGAACCAGTCACCATGAGGCTGGCAGCCTAATGGATAACCATCATATTCAGGAGACCTCATTAGATTCTGGCCAATACTACAACCACCATCTACCTACCAGTGGCAGCTTGTATGTCAGCATGATGCTGAACAGGTTTCAAGGCAGATTTCAGACTATGACCGAGTAAAAGGAAAGCCCTGACTTGTGAAAATCCGGCCGCCACCTGGCCCTATAGGTTCCCTTGAACTGATCATAGTTAACAAAGGCAATAATTAACATATGCAGGGTCTAGGCTGTGAAGCTGGCCTAACGCAGCTGAAATCTCATCTGCACACCCAACTATGGGCAATTTGTTTAACCTCTCTCTGTTCAATTTAATATCTGTAAAATAGAACCTGTAATTGAACCTGCCTTGCAGGCACTATTAAATGTGTTAACATTTGTAAGACATCAGCATATAATAAGTGTTATATAAATATATGTTAGATACACAAAATGGAATTAGCATTTTCCTATCTTGCTTAACAGAAACACCTTCAGGCAATTCTTATGTAAACAGATAAACAGAAAGAAAAACACACCTTCTAAGGAACAGCCTCTTATTTTTTTTAAATGTATTTTTAGCATCAGGAATATTGAAATAATGATGTATTTGTATTCTTAAAAGAGTTCAGTATAGATATTTTTTCCAATCCAAGGTTTTCTTGAGATTTTTAGTTTTAATCACTTCTCCTATAAAATGAGAATAAAAGTAAAATACCATCCAACTCCTTTATTGGGGAAAACAATCAGAAATGCTTGTCTCTTTGCCTTGGGCCTTAACAGTCCACTGTCCCAACCTGTCTACTTTTTCAACTTAAAAAATAAGAAAGTATTTGCTATACTGGTATCCAGACCTGTGAGGGTTTGGTTGTACATCAGTGTGCCTGGGCCAAGATCCTCACAAGTTTGGCAGTTGAGGACTCCATATTGGGATCTGCTGTAAGCTGTCAAGCCTCTGTGGGAAGCTTAGACCCTTACTCAGGTCACAGCTCTGATGATAATTTCTCTGGGATGTGGCCTACTTCATATATAAGTAGACATTAAGGAGAGCTTGTTAGCTTCTTTCTGCTGATCTGTGTCTTGTGTGTGGCTCATGGACTTTCAGTTCTTTGAACTTGAACCAATAGCTAGCCATAGTACTGGCCAACACTGGCCTCCATTGACCTGCTGATGTTGGATTCACCCTCCTCTGCAGCTGCCCACTGTAGCGTTCCTATTTCATCTTCCTGCTTCCTATCTATCTATCTATCTATCTATCTATCTATCTATCTATCTATCTATCTATCAATCATCTATATATATGGCTTTCTTCTCTAGAGAACCCAACCTGAGATCCAACTCAAAATGTTAATATATAGGTAAATACATAGAAAACGTAGAACTCTAATCTATGGTAACAGTCCAAAGGATGAGACATGCCAAGAGTGAACCATTATCTGTAGAATTATCTTCAATGTCACTCCTAAAGTTTATTTGATATCATTTGCCTTCAGAAAGGCTAGAAAGAAGGAATATTATCCTGCTTCTAATATTCTACTTCCATAATTTAATTCCTAATTATCCCATATTAAGTTTCAGACATTTAAAATAAGCACAAGTGTTATGAAACTTACCTTGATAGATAACCCCCTTCCTGTTTTCAAATGTGCTGATTGCTACACATGTAGGTGCATGTTATAAACCCGTGCTGTCAGTAATCTTGCAGGAATGGTGCTATCTCTAGCATATCTGTAAACCCAGGTGCTGCTGAGTCATTTCTGGCTCACTAACCCTATGTGTGTCAGAGTAGAATTGTGCTCTGTGAAGTTTTTAATTGCTGATTTTTAATAAGTAGATTTCTAGGCCTTTCTTCCCAGGCATCTTTGGGTGGAATCAAGCCTCTAACCTTTCAGC